CTAAACCCCACCCCCTAAACCCTACTAATAGAGACCCAGAAGCTGGGGTTGGTGATGGAGTGGCGCCCAGCAGACCTGTCCTCTCCTTGGAAGATCTGAACTTACTTTAAGGGTTTATTAGGGTTTAGGGTTAGGGCTTAGGGTTTAGGGTTTAGGGCTTGGGGTTTAGGGCTTGGGGTTTAGGGCTTAGGGTTAGGGGTGGTGATTTGGGGGGGAGTGGGGGTGTCTATCCCTATAAGAACTGTACTTCCCACATACAGCCCTACAACTGTACCGGTATTCTTCTCCACTCTGCCTCAATTACCAGTAAGTTCAGGGCTCGGTGTTTCAAGAGTTTGGGGTGTATAGACGGTATAGCCTTTAGACTATATGACTGATAGAGGGTTTAGGCTTCTCCAGTGGCTTCTAGACATAACCCCTGAAAGCCTGAAACCATAGGCCCAGTATACCTATACGAGTAGAGCAGTGCACCAAACACTTTGGTATCTTTAGTTTTTAGACTAAGGTTGCTCTAGGTAAGGATTCCTGGCAGTTGCTGTTACGCTTTATGCTGGCACCCTCTTCACCGGAAGCCATGAAACTGGGAAATGGGGACTGCAGCTTCTTTTGCGCATTGGAGTCTGCACGCGACTTCAGGTGATATAGATCATGGAACGTACCGGGTGGTCGCAGCTATCCCTCTTCTTAACCTACTTGCACAGTCCGCTTGACCCTCCAAGCAAGCCTTCTAGAGCTTCAAGGTTTGAGGGCCCACGGGGTAGGACTAGCCCGGATACACCAAGCAAAGACACAAGGAGACTACTGCTGACGTATAAGTAGGGCCTGTGCCCTAAACCGCTATACCTTGGCTTGTGAGTAGATAACCCCCATTCGGAATGAAGCCCAGGTGAGGACACTGAGTCTGCCAGGCACCCACCTCAAACCCTAGACCCACTTCAATGCCGTGCTTCTGCAGCTCTGGAGAGATCTCCGTTCAACGTGATGGTGCTGATGGCAACCCAACTGCCCGAATAGTAGTCGTCGATGGCCTTGAACCAAGCCCAAAGCGCCCCAGTATCAATATAGAATCCCAACCAGTTCCTATGTACGTAGATGCTTTGGGGCCCCAGTCAGCGCTGTGTGTGTCTGTGCTTGGAGACTGCTCGTCGATGTACAGAGTCTGCCCATGAGGCAGGTAGGGTACTGGCTATGATGGCGCCCATTGGACCTCAATCAGTTGGGATGTCTCGAAACAGGGGTACGCTAAGGGTCTGGGGATACATGAGAACTACACAAGGGAACAGGGTATTTTTCCTCACTTAGGGTTCTCGAGAAGGTCCCACCCGTGGATGGATGAGCCCAAACGCCGATATCAGGACTCCTGTTTTTTTTTGGATTCAGGAAAAGGGAATATAATCCCTATATAGCCCCTACATAGCCCCAAAATAGAATATTCCCTCATTCCTTGCTAACCCTAAATCCTACACGTTTCAGGGTTCAGCTCTGTTACCCTGACAAACATTTGTCTCGCAGGTTGGATCCCCCAGGCCCAAGGTATCAAAAGAATGAACCTGACTACTTGGAGGGTCATTGGGACTT